CAAGGCTGCAGTTTGAACTTGTCGATGCCTATCTAACTGAAGACTTCGAGGAATAGGATGTCAGTGGAGCTCCCAGTATTGACCAAGATCCTCTTGACCCAGAAGTTATTAATCTCGGTCAAGATAATGAGAGGGTCATCATGAGGTGTCTTGCCTTTCAGATCAGCGTTGCTAATGGAGATGGACTTATCTGTCCTTGGCTTCTTCTCACATAAGTTGACATCCAACGCTCGTCTGGCATACTTATTTAGAGCTTTATTAGATATTCTTCCTACAACTGGACCCCGTTGATGGTGTTGATGATACCTCAACTGCCGGTCTCTACATGCTGCTTGTCCTACTAATGTTGGGGACGGGGTGATCTTGATCTAGATCTCCTATTAGACTTTCCTGAAGTGGGTTCACTCCTATCTCGTTGAGAGATAAGTCTCATCAAGAATCTCCTTTGTATTAAGTCCTCAATATCTCTTCAGAGTACCCGATAATCATCATTATGATGGTTGTGATCTCGATGATACCAGCAATATTGCCTGGTGTCTCTAAATCGAGGGTCCGACTTCATGCAGAGAGGAGTAGAATTTAAATACCCTTCCTTATGGACTAATATAGAGCTTGTGAGAGAGAAGTGTTAAGTACAGTAAGGGTCAGCTTCTTGGCCGCCTTTTTCCTTTGGCCCCTCTTGTCAGCCCTGCTCGACCAAGAGTCGGTTTTGGGGGATTCTTCTCCATCTTCTCCTTAGGAGAGGACTTGGCTCCTAAAGTGGGTGTTGTCATCGCCACTGCTATTGTTTATGCTTTCTCTAGCCGCCTTCTTATGGGCTCGGATGTCTTTTGCATCTATGCGCTCTCATGCACTGGCCATCAGCTACTCATAGTTGGTGACTCAATCTATGATGAGCAAGTCGACCACCTTGTTATTCTGGAGTCCTGCCGAGATTGCAACCATGGCGACCATGTGTCCAGGGTCTTTGACTTCCAACGTCTTCGCTTGAAGCCTCTTGAAGTAGTCACTGAGGCTTTCCCAGGTTCTTGTCTTATCTGCAGCAAGACGTGAGAGAGCTTTTCTGTTTGGAGTTAGCCAAAAAGTAGTATATGAATTTTTGAGTGAGCTGCTCAAAACTATGGATGGATTTTTTGTCCAGAGAGTTCCATCACATCTTTGCACTTCCCATCAGAGTGATAAGGAAAGCTCTACAGATAATTGGCTCAGTCACCTGTTGCATGTTCATCAAGTTATAGAAGTTTTGGGCATACTTTGATGGATCTCCCACGTTTTTGTACTTCTTAATATGAGGCATCTTGAATTTGGAGCATGGTGCGCTCATTATCCAGTCGGTGAGTGGAGTGTTCCCTCCGATCGGTGATAATATTGAACATCCGGTCATAACGAGATGCAAGATTGGTAGTGAAAGGACCCGGAGTAGCATAGGGGTATCTTGGGACGTGTGAAGCCATCCACGTAGTTCGCTCATAGCCACCATGGCCGTAGTTGGGGCTCTCCCTTGTTGCCTCCACATACGGCTAGGTCTGCCAAGGCATAGCAGCAAAACAGACCTGTTAGCGAGGTGGAGGAGAGGCACGCTCGCCGTCCGGCCTGATCTATAGGAGGAGGAGGAGGAGGAGGAGCGAACGATGGAGAAGGCTACTAAGGAGGAATTCTGCTTAGGAGCTCTTTCGTGAAGGAAGCAAACTACTGCTGGAGAGATTGAGAAATCATCCAAGCGAACTCCTCTTACTAGGCTTGAGTGACATAGCCCATGTGTTGGTCATCAGCGAATGGGTTAGAGAATCGACTAGGGTGATCAGAACCAACCATTTTATGCAAAGAAGAAAGAAAGGCCCCACGGTGGGCACCAAACTATTGATATTAGTTATCAAACAGAGGATAATATGTGGATTAAGTAGGGTGTTAGGGTCCTTAATATTTTTTACATAGTTAGGCTCTAAACGGAAAATTCCATCCTGCACATGAACAACACCCAAGAGGGTTGGAGTTAGGATCTCCAGTGGTTCCTCCGACGATCAAGTTAGTAATAAGCTTGAGTGGGGAAGTATAGAAATAATGTGTTTTTAACAAGAGTTTGCTTTCCCTCAGCAATAGAAAACATCTTCCTTTTATAACAGATCTAAGGGAAGATGTGCAACTTCGGCTGAGGCCTAGCATGCGGCTTAATCGTCATCTACTATACAAGTGTTGGCTGCAAAAGGGGATGAGTCACTCAGACGTTTAATGTGAGGGTGACAAGGTGTGTGTAGTGCTGACAAGGTACGAGGAGTCGTAAAGACTTTCAGGGCTGGAGAAATGATGACTTTGATCATTCATTTAATGTGATGACAATAGACTGTTGGCGGGGGGCCTGAGGATACACCGCCTTTCGACTCGGTTTCACAAGAGGGTCGACAAACGAAGGCTTTCGTTTCAATTGCGAGTGGGCTGATAAGTACCGTCCTTTTAGTTGGCCTCAAAGGTTTTCGCCCTGACCTTATGGAGTGGAAAGGAGTGGGGTCGACTGGAATGGTGAGTTGAGTGAGGACACCTTTCAACTCGGCCCTCGTTTAGGAAGGATTGAGTGCTAAAACCATTCGAATTGTCTTTCCCGTAGTATGACTGATTAGGTACTTAAGGTGGGACATGTGTTGGCTCCTCGTTGAGAACTAATACTCTACTATTTGTAGGATATAACAGTACCAATTAGGTATCATTAAACACAAATTAATAAATAGGTTAATTTATATTCTCTCTTATTCAGGAGAGTGGATATCCACTCTAAAACTACTAACTATATTGAGACTTGAGAACTCTTATCCCATCAACTACCAATCGGAAACTTTTGATCTTTTTATATAGGCGGGAAAACTTTTTTGGCTTGTAGTATATGTTGGATTTAAATCTAATATATGGGCCAATATATTAAATAGATATGTATTATGTGCTATCAATCAAGGTTAGCCCATTAAAGTAATCCAATTTAGAATTTGAGCTTTTAATGCATAATTAAAGTATGAGCCTTCTATGTGTAGAGACCAAAATATAGTTGTTAATTTTATGATTGGCTGAATTGATAATTATGAATAACTGGTTCAGTTATAAATAGGGTTATACTTCCCTAAATCTCCATGTAGAATCTCTTTCTGATTTTCCATCTTTAGAAGGATTAGAGTTTCTCTAAGGAGGATATATACGGGAGGATATATACGTACAAGATTTGGAAGATCTACATTTCAAAAAACTCAAGAATCACATCGTACTCCATGGATTTATGTATGGTTCCGCATCTTCTTAATTATCTCAATAGTTTGACATGAACAATCTTAAAATTGATTAGAGTTTTATCTATTAAAGTAAAAGTTTTCTTCTTATCTAACAGTTTGGAAGTAATGTAAGTTAAGCAGTGTGGTCATTACTATTCTTCGCAAAAATAAGCTTTTGTAAGCTTAAGTGGCCAAGCGCTCTGATCACCGACTTTCGTGTCCCTTAAATTTACTTGGATATTGCATACAGAAGACAACCTATGATGGAAAAAAAAAGTGGGTCGACCGAGCCTCGTCAAGTCTACAGGAGCTACTACGCTCCTTGTTTTCCCTGTACTGCTAAAATTCTCAGATATCAACGAGACCTCATTCAGCAACACTTAAAACACCCTGAGCTCCTAATTCACCGTCCAACATTATCCATCAACTATTTTACTCTTTAATTTACACATCAACCACACCCAACAACTAAAGCTCCAGCACATGTTACCCATCTCCGGTCCGTTCTCGAGACTGCCGACATAATGTGTTCCCGAGTCCTGAAGCACCACCATCGATCGTTGATCGTTAAAAAGTTAGGTTTTGTATTGCATGAGTTTGTTACATGTTGACTGAGTAAAATTCCAATTATCTCTTTTCTTTTCGGTTAATTTCACAGAACCTCCTCCCAAATTTTGGGGTCTTTTCACATAATTCCCCTATATCACAAAACCCCTTTGAACCCTGGGGAATCTGACAAAACCCACCTGAATTTTAAACTTTTCTTACCGAATTCCATATGTGATTTGCAACTAAATTTTCTTTAAGGGGCTGTTTGGTTCGTTTCCTAGATATAGGGAAATGTATTTTTATGTACAAAAACATAAGTTTTGAGTTTTTTAAACTTTTCTAAGAAATAGATTGTTGGGAAATGTATTTTTATGTACAAAAACATAAGTTTTGAGTTTTTTAAACTTTTCTAAGAAATAGATTGTTTCGCTTTGGTTCGCAAAAAAAAAAAACATAAGTTTTGAGTTTTTTAAACTTTTCTAAGAAATAGATTGTTTCGCTTTGGTTCGCAAAAAAAAAAAAAAAGATGAAAAACCAATGTATTTATTTTTCTTGTCTTTGTTTCACATGGAAAATAAAGGAAAAACTTTTGTTTATATGACAAAAAGCCGGCGTGCCTGCAGATTTCATCAATTTCACGAGGTTGAGGAAGGAATTGGGGGAGAGAAAAAAATCTGATGTGGCGGCGATTTTCACCGAGTTTCCCTTCTTCAACCCTAGCAAACCAAAGATGGGAAAAAACCCGACGGAAAGCTTATATCTTACGTGGTCACGAAAAATCTGATGTGGAGGCGGTGTAAAACTTTTCCACCGAGTTAAAAAACGAACCAAACAGCCCCTAAGAGAAAAAACTCAATATTTATTTCCATAACAAATAACAAAATTTAGAATCTTTTTTCTCATAAGACAATTTTAATTATTTGTAAATAGAAAGATACAACGAAAAAATATGAAAGTTCATGAGAGTTTTATTTTATTTATTTAAATAATAATTAAAAGGCTTCTCATGGATCAATCAATAATAATATCTCCCCTTCTTTGACTCCAGAAAACTTATGCAGATCTAATCTAGCCACTGGATCTGGTCGGTGCAAATCTTAGACGCCACATGCACTACCTCCATAACCTTGCCACGTGTCCTCTTCTTCTCCTTTTATATGTACATTCAACTCTACTTCCTAGCTAGTTCCAAAGCTTAAAGCCTTATTCTCCTCTCTTTCATTTGAGCTTTGAGTCCAAAATTTCAAGCTTTTTTTCAACACAAGGAATCATGGGTCATTTTTGGGAGTTTTTGACGTATGTCCACTCATTATCTGGGTACAAAACTTCCATTTAATTTTAATAATATTGTTTCTTAATTATAGTTGTTCTATATCGATCAGGCACTAATATTGGATTAAATTTTCATCTAGGCCTTGCGTCATGTTGCTATACCCCTTGTAAGCATGCAGACCCTAATCACAAAGTTTCTACAATTATTTTGTTGCTGATTTTAATCTAGTCCTGTAGTTGATTAAATTAAAATGAATTTAATTAGGTATGCATCAGTTCAAGCCATTGAGACCGCAAACAAGCTTGATGATGAGCAGTGGTTGGCTTATTGGATCTTCTACTCATTTCTAACGCTATTGGAGATGGTGGCTGAGCCCATAATAAAATGGTGATTAAGCCCTTAATTAATTATCTTTTAATTACATTTGGTTGAGTAATTAAGTGTTGATTATTTTGTGTTCTAAGGATACCAATTTGGTACGAGGTGAAGGTTTTGCTAGTGGCATGGTTAGCGCTACCCCAATTTAGAGGGGCAGCATTCATATATGACAAGTTTGTGAGGGAGCAACTAAGAAAACATGGTTTTGAAGGAAAATCAGCATCTTCATCGATGCCGTCGCCTTCGAAGAAGAAGAACAAATTTATTAGCCTTGTTACTTCGAAGAAGGTAATTAATCTCTTCGAAGAAGAAAAAGGTCATGGTAACACGTTTAATCTCTTGGATTAAGATCTTTTCACTGTAGTTAAATTGACTACGAACAGGAAATGGAAGCAGAAGGAGTGTATTTGAGAAAGCGGATGATATTGATCATATTTATTATAGATAATTATGATAGAAAAAAGGCCATGTTATATGTGGTCAAAATGATTTTTGAGGATAGAAATCTTGTTTTCTTTATTTAATTTTGAAGTGCTGATGATAATGCCTGTAATTTGGCAGGGGGAGCAGGAGGCCTACTGATGAGCAGGAGTTCATGAGGGGATTTTGTTTTCAGTTGTCGAACTTTATCTCTAGTTTTAATTTCTTTTTGTCGTCATGGAATGAGATATATATATTATGGATGTCTTTTCTCTCTCTCTCTCTCTCTCTCTCTCTCTCTCTCTATGTTCTCTCTCTCTATGTTGTAACATTTTAGTGCTTAATTAGTGCAATTGAATAATGACATTAACTTAAAAAAAAAAGAATAATGACTTGATGTTTAGCTCTGTTTTGGTACGCTGAGATTTGTCTTTAGGATAATGCCAAAGATGAATGGCGAGGATAAAAAGGTTTTGGTTTAGTTAAGCAAGAGAAAGGTCAACTGTCAGATTATACATCAAAGCTTATTTTAACTAGGAAAAATGCCTTAGGGTCATGGAGCCGACACCTCACATGTCTCATATAAGGTCTCATGTTTTTGGGTCCCTGTAACACCACTCTTTAACTAACTCTTCCTAAAAAGAACTAAAATATCTTTTTTGGAACATGAATTTGGACCCTTAAAATTCAGGTAGCCCAAGGCTCTGTTTGGCAAAACTAGCTGAAAGCTGCGAGATTATAGCTGAAAGCTGTCAAGCTAGCTGAAAGCTGTGAAATTGTAGCTGAAAGCCGATAGCTGTGTAGCTAGCTGATTGACTAGAGCTGTTTGGCAAAAGAAGCTGTACAACTAGCTTAAATTTGTTAAATGACTAAAAAGGTCATGCAATATTATTGATATAAAATTAGAATTATTAGGGATAAAAACGGAAGAAAAAAATTAACAGCTCATTCCCAAAGACAAACGCTACTTGAGGTAGCTTTCCAAAAGCTACTTGCAAAAGACACAATCTCTAAAATAATCTCCTCCTATTTTTGGTCACCAAACAGCTCTACTAGCTTATTGACCAAGTCAATAAGACACAAGCTCTTAGATAAGACACATTTTTTGGTTGTCAAACAGTGCCCAAATCCAAATTTCTTGTTTGGATCTAATAGCGGGCTCTGATTTGAAATCAGATTGTTCTGATTGGATGGCTTTTAAGAGTAGTTAAAACCTTAATGTTGTTTTAACTACAGAAGTTTTAAGCCCGTGCTTGCACGGATTCACATGATTTCTTTAGTTTTATACGTTAGTTTAAATTCTAATTTGGTGGTTGTTTTAAACAGAATTTTGTTGAAATTCCTTTTTTTTTCGCTACCACTTATTCTTTTGCGGGCACGTGACGAATGAGTATCGTTTAATCAATCAACTATTTCCTTTTAGCTATCCTGGAATCCAAATCAATTCACTAAATCTTGTTCCGTATTGTTTAATCATATTTGCTCTCCGTAAGTTATATCCGCTTCTCACAATCTGGATTCATTAAGGGGGTGTTTGTTTGCATGCAAGTGAAAGATGAAAGTGAGAAAGTTACTTTCATTTAACAGGTGTTTGTTTGCATGCAAGTGAAAGATGAAAGTGAGAAAGTTACTTTCATTTAACAATTAAGATGTTTGTTTTCATGTAAGTGGTTATGAAAGTGAGATGTAAGAAAGTTGCCACATAAGATTTAATACAATTTTGACTTCCCCTAAAAAAGTGGTGAAGTCACATGAAAGTGACAAAAATATAACTAATTTAATTAAATAATTTTAATTATATTTTCTAATTAATCTTATTTTGCCACGTCATCTTCACATTGCACTTTCGATAATAATTTAATTTTTCAAACAAACATTGTATTTCACTTGTGTGCTGACATTGATGTAAAATTCATTTGCAAAAAAAAGTAACTTGCATATTTTAAATCCACTTTCAGATTGTCAAACACCCCCTAAATGGAATACGTGTCTCTCACTCTTTGTCTTTATAAACTCCAATTTGCCCTCTTTGTCTTTATAAACTCCAATTTGCCCTCCTCATTGGTGCAGGCCTCTTGTCTAGGAGCAAATGCTTTAAATTCCAAATCTCTTTATCCCTCAAAAAGCTCCGAAACTCTTTTACCCGCGCCCTTTTAGATGTTTAGCGGTCTCTTTGTAAGTTTTAGATTTTAAAGGGGGTGTTTGTAATTTTTGGACCATAAAGGGGTTAGTTGTATCTTTTTATTTTCATTATGTTGTTTGTAATTTTCAAAATTTTAATGGATTGTTTGTAATTTTTTGACTTTTAAGGGATTATTTATAATTTTCAAATTGTACGGAGTTGTTTGCAATTTCATATTTAAGAGGGTGTTTGTAATTTTTAGTTTTCAGTGGGGTGATTTGTACTTGTCAAATTATTAGGCGTTGTTTTATAATTTCATAATTTTTTGAAGGCAGTTTGCAGCTTTTGAATTTTTAAGAGCGTTTTTGTATTTATTAGATTTTAAAGTGGACTATGTGTAGCTTTTTAGATTTTTTTTAAAGTTGTTTGTAAATTTTAAATTTTATAGGTGTTTGTTTGTAATGTTCAAACCTAAATGGGCCTTTTACAATTTTTGATTTTTCAAGGGCTTTTTGCAAATTTTGGTTTTTAAATATTTCTTATAAAATTTAAAATTTTTGAGGGGTATTTTATAATTGTTTATTTTTTGGGGGGTTGTTTTTTACTTTCTTATTTCAATGTGCTTTTTAAAAAATTTCAGATTGTTTTAATTAGTGGTTTGTGATTTTTATATTTTTAATAGGTCTACATATTTTTATTTTTATTTTTTGAAGGCTTCTGTGCAATCTTAAGAATTTTTAAAGCAAAATAGTTCTCTTTTTCTTGTCATTACTGTCCTTCAAGCTACTTTTTTCGGTATAAAATTATAAAGTTATGGGGTAATAACATTATGGGGGTTAGTGCAGAAGATAAACTTTTTTGGGTTTTCTGATAGTCCAAAGTTATTGGAAGCTTAATAAGAGTTTTAAACTTTTTTTGGGTTTAGTGCTAAACACAAACTTATTGGAAGTTTAGTGTAATTTACCCCCAAAAAATGTGAAAACAGAAAGGATGAATAGGCTTTATAAACTTGACTATTTTAGTAGGAAGTGGTATTTGGAGAATATGGAACATGACAATTTTTTTTGAACGAAAGAAACAGGGAGAGATTCTCTGTTCATATATGTATATTAATCAAAAGTTAGGCAAATTTACGTGGGTACCAAAAAAACCGAGGATAAATAGAACCATAAGAAGAATTGACTAGTGAGGAGAGGACATTGTCGTCACTCGCCGAGCCAATTCTAAGTTGTTTCCATTCATCCCAGGTTAAGCAAAAACCATACAACGACAAAAAGCCAAAAAAAGAGTCTACAGAAAGTTATAACAAAGAGCAGATACTATTGACTGAAAACATAAAGAATACTTCAAAAAAAACTTCTATGAGCTCAGAAGTTATCTTCGACTGCATCCCCCGAGGTCTTCTTTGCCAGCTCCTGTAATCCAAGTTCAATGACCACTTTGTGCATTGTAGCTGATCTTTTGCTAGGCATTGAACCTATCCATAGAAGAGTAAAATGAGCAATATGAGATGCTATATGCAAAGGGGAGGCTGAAACACC